TATATATATATTATATATATATATATATATATATATATATATAAGGTATTATCATTGATACTTACTTAAAAGGACTAGTTGATGCTATTATTTTACTATCCTTAGCATCATGAAAAGATTTACTTGTACTTTTTATATCACTACAAGATACTTGTCTGTATCTTATAGCTTTAGATTCATCTTCTAAATTATCAAGCACATCAAGTGATTTACTAGCAGAATGCGGAACACCTTGAAATTCAATATCTTCCGTAATTTTTTGTATTTCATCTTCTGATAATTGAATCTCATGTTGAGGAATATTTATTGAAACTGGTGTAGAAACTTGACTTCTACTTTCAATTTCTAAAACATAAATTTGTTTTTCTTAAATAAAAATATATATAAAATTATATAGGTATACACAACATTCTATTAAAAAAATATTTATTCACAAAATTTTAATAATATATTTTAATAATTATAATAAATACATTTTTTTATACCTAGCGTTTCATTTGATTCTACCCGTTTCACAAGTTCAATTTCTGCATCTAGAATATTTTCCGGATATACTATTAAACCTGGAAATTCCTTAACTTCGAGTGATTTACATTTTTCGGATGCAATTCTGGCAGTGTTACTTAATGATTTTAATTTTTCCGTGTGCGTTTCCCATTCAATTTTATCTATAAATTCTTATAAAAATATATATAAAATTCATTTTATGTTTTTCAATTTTTTTTTTATTAGATATATATACAATGTAAAAAATACAATATAAAAAATATATATAATATTAATTATGATTGCTTTTTGCAGATTTTTGTGTACTTGCAAAAAACTGAAAAACTTAATTTTTTCAAATGAACATTACATAAAAATATATAAAGACATGTAAAAATAATAATTTCAATTAACATAAAATTAATTATATTAATTATAATTAATTATAATTACTAGCAAAATTCTGCGATTAATATAACAATCAATATATACATAGGAACGATAATCGAAATTTCAGCTTTTGTAATCAAAAGTAATCGAATTTCTATTTGTAATTTATAATTATTGTTCTTTATGTCAAGCATAAAGATTTTTCTTAACTATTTCAATCAGAACTTTTATATATTAGTTATTATTATTTATACACATTTAAAATTCTTTTCATTACATCTTATACAATTTCCATTTCAATTATTACATAAAACAAAATTTACATCAGTATTTAATAGTTTAAAATTTTCGTTAAAATAAAATGATAAAAAATTTAAAATATAGATTAATCATTTCGAAATTAGATAAAATCTTTTCGAAACAGATTAGATAAAAATCTTACTTTTAGTTGGAGTTGAATTCAAGATATCACTATTGTAAAGGCAAGGCTTTCCTGATATCAGGACAGCTGGAAGAATATAAAACTATTTTCATCCGAATATTTTGATAAACAGAATTGAAATCTATACATACTTTCTATTCGTTTCAATAATAAGCCATTATTAACATAACATTGACCTTCCATTGCTGCAATAAAAAATTTTGCAACCATATCTAAATCAGATTCTATAATTAAATCAATATTTTTATTTGCCGTCCACGTAATAATTAAACCATAATCCTCAACCTAAAAGACACAAGAATATTATTGCATAATAAATATTTTATTATTTTAATGTTTTATTTTACAGAATTGATTGTAAATTTTTAAAATAATATAATTTTATATTCGGTTTTAATAATTTATTTTAAACTAATTTATTGAGAAATATTTTTTCACTATATTTTTTTATTTTATATCATTATATTTTATATATTATAAAATTAGAAAACAATTGTAATAGAAAACAATAGTTAAAAAATTCTTTATCTAATAATGATAAAATCAGTAAATTACAGAAAATAAAGACTTATTTTCAAAATTTTTAAAAATATGTATTATAACAAAATTTCTATGTAATAAATAAATTATATTAAATATAGCAATGAATAGATATGATACCTTTGTAGCATGTGTTGCAGCAAGAGGATTATAGCTTTCAAGATCAGCTTCAACAAGTATATAAAGTTTGTACTCTGATTGTAATAAATTTCCATTACGGTTATTTATATGTAAAGGAAAAAATGTTTTGCCATACTGATACGTTAACCAACTTGAGATGTCAACTTTTTGCTGATAAAAATAGCAATTAACTAAATGATTAATTATATTTAAACTCCAAGAATTTATTTGTATTACAATGCTTGATGCATACTTGAGGAAATATAGTGCATAATCTCATATCACCATAATACCATAGTAATTCTTCTAGTCTAGCATCAGTTTTATTCACACATAGACAAGAAGTCATAAATTCATCATTTTCATGATCATTCATAGTAGATTTTGATTCTTAAAATAAATACAATATATTAAGTATGAAAATTTTAGTATGTTGTTTAAATTATATACATGTATATGTACTATTAATTAATTTAATAAGTATTCAAGTATTAAAAATAAATATTAAATGCTCAAATGTTAAAATAATATATAATTATAAAATAGATGTTTCATTTTACATTTATTATAAGAAAAATAAAATATAATACAAAATAGATAACTAATAATTTTGTTAAATCTATATTATATATATTAGTTTTTTAACATACATAATTATAAAGATTTTAATGTTACATATACAAAAATAACAATATTTGAATACAAATTAAATAATATTTGAATAAAAATAAAATACAAAGGGGTAAATATATATGTATGTACAATATAAATATTATTAGAATAATATAACAAAATTTTATTGGTTTTGAACAATATATTAGCTATATTAGCTATATTATAATAATAATATAATTACAGATGTGTGTATAATTAAGTAATTAAGTACATAATAAACTTATAAAATCAATAAAAAGAAGTAAATGATATTCATACATAAATTTTATTTCATGTATATACATGTATATAAATACAATATCAAACTAACATTTATACAATTAAAAAAAATGAAAGTAACAATTACTACTATAATTACTACTATAACAAAATAAATAGTGCGTATATATAAAGGTTCTGATTTGGTTTATAAATTATGCAAAAATAAATAAAATAACAGAAACAACATTTTAAAAAAAATATAAATTGTATTAATAAAATCATAATAAATATTATTTGTGTATATAAAACTTACAAAAAATAATTATATATAATTATAATTATATATAATTTAAAAATTAACATTTTAATAATATTAATATTTCACACGAACTTACTAATAAAATTTTTGTATTTTTTTTCATTAAAAGAATTACAAATAATTATTAATAGATTAATAAATTTTATATATATTTATAAGTAAAAAAATATGATATAATTAATACTTTACAAATATATATGTAAATTAAAAAATAATATATTTTAATAAAATGCTTACATCATAGAATTTTATTTTTAAACATAATTAAAAAGCAAGAATTAAGTACTATTTAAAATAATATTTAATATAGCATTTCATCTATTATATTAAACAAATTTTTGGTCTTTCTATATTTTTTGCAATCTTTTTATATAATTTGAATTTATTGCAACTACTCAAACATTTTAAAACTATTATTAAACATTTTACAATATTTTTATCATATATATGAAACGCATGTCTAATTTATACAAATATGCAAAAACTTATAATATAATGTGTAAAGACAAATATATAATAAGTAATAAAGATTATAAATATATATGTAATATATATATGTGTATATGTAAAATTATATAATTTGATAGTCATAATAATAAAAATTAAATATGTATGTAGAAAAAAATATAATATTAATTATTATTATAATATAAATCATTAAAAATAATATATTTAAATTTTATAATTTTAACAATTATTAAAAATAATATAATAGATTAAATAATAGATAATAAACTAAAATCTAATATATAATGAATTAAATCAAATCTATAATATTTATGTTATGATATTTTAATATTCAAATTTTTTAAGTAAAAAAATTTACTTATAAAATTACATTACAATATCTTTAAAAATTATTAAATTATTTAACTTATTTATATGAATACATAATATTACGTAATAATAATACGTTATATTAAAATTGAACAATTTATACAAAATTTATTATTAAAATATATAAAAATAAATATTAATACATTACCTTTACATGAACCTACTGTTTTATTATAAAACATTATTGACGGATAAATATTTGTGTTTCCTTGGAATAAACTGCTTAAATGAGTTTTTAAAAATAAAATTCTTCTTGACTGAATTGATGTTGCTATCATATAAAAAAGTGTCAAAATCATTTTGATGAAATTGAAATATAAAATTTTAATAATTATACAATCACTTGACCATAAATTTCTGAAATAAATTATGTATCTCTTATATATTTATTTCAATAATTCATAAATTATAATTAAATCATTTTGACAAATTAAAATAAATAATAACATAAATTATTAAATATTAAATAATATTACATAAAATTAAAATTTATTTATTTACATATTTTGTAAATTAAACAAGTTTAAAAATCATTTAAATCAAATATATGAATCAACAATGATATATATAAATATACTTATAAAATATGAGAATAATAACTAATAAAAATAATTTTTGAAATAAATATTATAATTTGCAAATCACTATAGTCAATAAATTTTTATAAATATGATTTTAAATTATAAAAAAATTATTAAAATAAAAATTGTTAAAATAACAAATATCTATCAAAATCTTTTTTTATAAAAAGAATTTATAAATTACATACCTATTTTCAATATTATTCTTTATCTATGAAGTAATTAATAAAATTATGGACAAACAACTTTGAATATCGTTTCACATCCATAAATTACTGCTAAAAGAATGTTATGCAAGGTACATTAGCTTATTGACGCTTATGTAGAATATAGTTCAACTGTATGATTATCAGATGGCGCCAAAAAAATTAAAAACCGAGATTAGAGAAAAGAGATAGATTAAAAGTCGTTTTTTATATTTGTAAAATTCAAATCAGACAAATGTTCTATCATAAAAATAGAAATTTCTAGAACTACAAATTTAAATAAATTAAAATTAATTATAAAATTATTATTAAATTTAATAAATCATAATGCTTTATAAGTTATATCATATCAATATGCTATAAAATTATTGAATTATTAAAAATATTAAAAATTATAAGTTTTAAATATTTTCAAAATGGTACTGACATTTATTTCATCTATGATTACGCGCTAAGAGTATGTAAAGATAAGGAAAATAAGAGTGGAAGTGGAAGAAAGATAAAATAAAATTGAATCAACATTATTTTTAAAATACTGTAAATGCAACTAAAATATAGATAAGAAAAATAAATAACAGTATAGAGATAGGATATGAATTAATTGGCGTTATTGCAAAGATATCTCTCTGTAGGTAAACAAAGTAGAATTAGAGTAGCGTTGATCCTCAATTTCTATCTTATCCTGCCATTAAAATGATATCTTAGGCGAAAGATGGCACTAACAGTTAATTTTTATTTTATCTCTATCTTTTTCTTTATTACTTTTTCTTATTTATTGTTCTTATCTATATTTATAACATGTATCATCTAAAGCTACATCTCCGTCACATTTCATTTCACCTCGTTATTTCAGCTTCATCTAATATAAATTCAAATTGCTTATAACTTAATAAATAAATTTTAAACATTTTTATTATTATTATTATATATACATTTGATTGAATCAAAAATTTATATGTGATTTAATATATTATTATAATTTTATATTATTGAATGATATGTACAATTTTAATTTTGAATAAGTAAATATCTATATTATAGTATACATAATATTAAAAAATGTTTTTTATAATTATTATAAATACGTTTATTCATTTCTTGTTAAAACTGATCTTGATTTAAAAATTCAATTATTAATTTCAATTTATTTTGGCTTTTCATTACACGTTTAAAAATGCTCTTTTAGAACTTATTTCATAAGCATATAAGTTTAATGTATTAAACTAAATTATATACTAAGAAATTAAATTTTGAAATTTTAAAAAATATTCCTTCATGCTTAATTTCATTTTAATAAAAAAATCAATATAAGCTCATTTCATTTATCTGCTGTTTTTTAAAAATTATTTTAAATAATATCAACTAATAAAATTAAAAAAAATATATATCAAATAAATATAATCAATTAAAAGTGGTTAAATAAATATCTTTAATAACTATCATCTTACAAAATATTAATATAATGAAAATATATAGAATATTTAATTCTTTCATTATTTTATTATACGTTTTCTTTCATATATAGTTTGATCTAAATATAAAACTTTATATTAATCTAATATTAAAATACCGATGTATCCAAACAAAAAAAAAATCTAGAATATATCAAAATCATAAGTTTTAACATAAAATAAAGGTAATCATACATTAAATATACTTGAACTTCATAATAAAATTTTATTTGGTACAGCCTAAGAGATTTATTTTAGTTAGCTGGTGATATAACAATGTGAAGTTTGAGCATATCTTTATTTGGACCTACAAGAAAAGGAGAAGTATTTTCTGTTACAGAACCTTGTTGCGGATTAAGTTCCTCGAACGGCAAAAGATCGTCTAAATTAAGGACACGTTCTTTCTTACTAAACCTGTGAATAATTTCTGTTACTCTAGCAATATGCTCAACACCATCTTGTAAACCATATATTAAAACACCTATTTTTACTCGCATATCGGCATTACTATTTACGGGTGGTTCCTTACACGTAAGTGATAATCTAACCGAACGTTTTACATGTTCTGGCATCTCTACTGTTCCTTGCCATACTATCAAAAAAATTTTTTAACCAAACCCCTTTCGGATATATATCTACGACCCATTCACACGCACGGTCACCAGCATATTCTGCCAAACACGAATGACTCGAAAATACAAGTGTTCTTGTATGATAAGAAGGTAAACCATGAAAATTTTCTATTGTAAGTAATGAACTACAAGTGTCTACAGTATATAATCTAGGTTCAAAAAGTAACGCGCCATCTTCTTCATTTGAACTCACTTCTTTAACTCTATCTAATTGACCAGAATGAAATGACATCCCTATAGACATACGTTCTACAAAGAATTCCTTATACTTTTTTGTTAAAGGAAATAATAGCAATTCTGCTAATTGCCGAGGAGACATCATTGGAAATCTAACTGGAGACATCACAGCTATTACCAATTGTTCCAATGTTGCTTCTAATTCATCGTGTGATAATTGTGTTTTTAATCGATTCGCCTGATGATCTAACCATGATTCTAAACATTTATATAATGTCATTTCATCCTTTATTACTAAACTACTTTGATGTAACAATGATACTAAAATATCCAAATCGAAATTTCCAAAGTCTGCAGTCTTGGCCACCAATTCCAAATTCCATTTAATAAAATTTTGACATGCTTGAGTAATATTATGATGACCACAATTTGAAGTATATTGTAACCAAGATACTAAAGTGCCATGTATGGCAGCTAATGCAATATGATTTTGCATATAATCAAGGCACAATGATATTAGATCCTTAACATTATACTTATCAGCTAATGATAATATTGGTAGAACAACACCATAATTAATTCTTATTTGACCAGTATAAAAGTACCGTAGAAACTCACTAAATATAGGTACACATTGTGGCGTTTCTTGGAGGGTTACTCTACTTTCTTGAGATTCACTCCATTGAGGACTCATTAACATTACCTATATTGAAAAAAATAATAATGAGTATAATATTGAAATATTAATTTTATTTTATTTATTTGAAATAAATATAATAAATATTCAATAAAAAAATTATTTTTACTATTTAATTAATATTTAATTAATATTAGTTATAGTGTTGAAATAATAAAGGAATAATAACGAAACGAAAATATCTTTTACTTAAAAATTATTTTTTATTAAATATAAAAATAATAAAAAATAGCTTTTATTTATCTATCAATAATATACTTATATCCAATGTTATATTTTTTTAAATATTCTGAATGAATTATCAATTCACTTAAAAATAAACATTTAATTTAAAAAAATATTACTCTAAATATTAATTACTTTTTTTATATAAAATCATGTCCATTTAGGTTATACCACCAGTTTAGTGACATCCTGTATAAGAATAAACAATTGTTTTTCATTTCATCTTATTATATACTAATTTAAAAGCAAATTTACTTACTTGAAAAACATCACTAGAAGCACAAAGTATAAGACGATGTGCTGGATATTCTATACCATCAACAACTAGACAAATATCATTCATAAGACGTTCTGCATACAATGTTGCTATTTTTAAAAGGACTGTACGTGAATTATCGACCTAAATAGAAAATATAATAAATTTATGTTCTTGTTTTATAAAATATAAATTTTTTTATATCTTTATCTTTTTTAAATAAAAACATATCATTATGTATAATAACCTCTATTGAATCTGAACTTTCAGATTTTCCAACATTATTTGGAATATTATTAGATTCTTCTGTTTGTTTATTATTATCCATTTCAGAAGAACCTGTCATACTTGATCATCACACTGTTTTGTATATTTCTATATCATGGTATACAACTAATTTTATAATAAAAGTAATTGTACCAATAAACCTTCATAGTAGTCTCTTGTTTATTAATTTTAATACTCTTCAAAATTACATAACTGTAAAAAATAAATAAACAAAATACAATACATACATAAATATGAATTAAATAAATAATTAAAAATAAAACAAAATAATAATAATTAAGAATAAAATAACAATATATTACAATATATAAAAGGGAAATATGTCATATTTTTTTAAAAAATAAACTTAAAAGAAACTGATAACTACAAACTAAAATTAATTACAATAAAATAAAAATACATATAAGAGAGTATATTAGAGATAAGAAAGATAAGAAAATATAATAATAAAATATATAAAAATATATAGAACAATAAAAATTATATATATGCAATTAATTACACATATGTTTCAAACAAAAAATATATTATATATAATAATGATTGTTTCTTATATTTTATATAATAAAATTTAAAAAAATAATAATTAATAAATTTTTATTTACCAAAAACTGTAAATAATTATAACGAAGTAAAGAAATTGTATTAATTAAATACGAAGGAAATGAATTGTGAAATACACTTCTCAATTGTATGTTTTAATATTAAATTATGAAAATATAAATTGTTTTATTACATTAAGTAAGAATTGACACTGTTTTTATTTTATTATTTTTACCAAGACAA